GTGTACGATAAATATATCATTGGGATGGTAAATGTCTGGTATGCCGCAAATCAGGAACAATGAACTCATAGGACACAGGAGTGTCAAATTTCGTTTGCTGTGCATGCATGCGGTGAGTTCATGCATATCCTGCTTGGCCCTTGGGTTAACCGAATGTTGACAACATCATCAATAGTTTCATGTTTCAATTATACAGCTGAAAAACCTATTATAAACTTAAGACATTTGAAATAACAGATAATAAATGAATTTTAAAGCTTAATTAGTTATTTGGAGGATAGTAAACAGCGTATAATTCTAAAAATATCATCAATGAAAGATTATACCAAATAAATTATGAGCTGCCATAGCTAAAGTTGGTCAGTATTGTTGGCCGAAGGCAAAATTAAGTAATTAATGCAATATAATAAGCAAAACATGATGAAATAAAAATAACACTAACACTACTATACCCGAAGCAAAAACCTATAGAAAAATACACAAGAACTTCTGATCTAACTTAATTCATAAATGCATACATGCAATAAAAGTACTTAAAAAACTCATTAATAATTCAAAAAGAAATCATGGGCGTGAAGGAGTCTGATTGTTTGATTTACATAAACTTTAACTTTGATTTTCTCGGCTTAGACAACGTTTATTTTTAAAATTACTTCGCCAATGAACTCATGAGATGAGTCGTTTTTTAAGCCATTTACTGAACATTCGCGTCCGTGTTGTATCGGATATACAAACTCTCGCCTTCGACTGGAGTTTGTATATCCGATACAACACGGCCGCTCATGTTGTACTACTATAGTACTTATTCTTGGTCAACTGAATTAGTCAAAGTAAACACCAGTATATACTGGAATATTACGTGTCTAAATAATCATACCTCACATGGATTTGAACTTCTAGCGAATAGAGAAATACACAACTACAATACGCGATATAAGGACAATTTAAGGCCGCCTAAAGTGTCAAGGATTTGGGAAAAGCAAAGACTCGCTTATCAGGCCATGCATAACAGACTGGAACAACTTGATTCTTGAACAGAAAGATAAAACTCTCTAGAGTAGTATTTCTACATTTAGGAGAAATTTTTTTAGCAATCTTTGAACTTTCCCTCGTATAATTTTTAAATATTTTTCATAGTTATGTAGTATATGCATGTCTTCCTTGTAAATTTGTTTATTTATTGAAAATCGAGTGGTGAGAAAGCTTCCTGAAAATAAATATTAAAAAAAAATTACACCAGTATGATTGGAATATAAGCCTTGTAATTTTTCTGATTCACGCTACTAACTTCCCAATGAAGGGCCCTCGCTCGAAACGTCGAAGTTCTGCTTGTAATGTTCAGGTAGTAGTATATCCCTATCAATCTGACAGTCGATTGAAAAAATCAGAATTTCTCCCCCAAAATATAATTGTGTATTTATGTACAATGCAGTCATGATTCAGTTCCAAAAGGTGTACGGCTCAATTACTACTATCTAATGGAACTGAGATGTTGAACAAAGTTATATTACCCCTGTTAATTTTATATTATACAAATCGGCCTTTCCTTTGTACTTCAGCAAACTATCCCAGGGGAAAATGTAGTTCCTCTTAATCATAAACGTATTTCGAGTAAAGTATAAACATTGTTCAATATATCTCCAATGTCGGCAATGAATATTGTTTTCCTAACAATATCGCATGCATATAATTAAAGGCACCTGTTATAGGAGACGCTCCTGACTGTAACCTTTTAATTTTAACGATCAAAGTGTATCATCAAATTATTAACCACAAAATTATAGTTTACGGAAACCTGGTCGAAACTTGAAACATATATGTATAGTACGCCCTTATTATTGTGGTTTTTTTTCATGGCTTTCTAGTATATCATTCATCGTATGCCGAAGTTTTAATGATGCTTGTGGCAAAGCACTATCTCTTTGTAGTACGTAATTCGTGACACATTAGCGATACTATCACAATATAAAGACCTATATAAAAGATCTATATAGTTTGTGTTTTGAGTTGTAGTGTTGGCGACATCTTGAATTAAATGATGTTTATTCCGTAGTAACGTTAATGAAGATCATATCATCGAACCACTTGGAGCAATATATTCTGGCTGGCGTATGGAACTGGGCGTATTAATTAAGTTGCACTGATAGGCAAATGCCACCTGTGCATACTGGTAATACGCCTTGTTTAGAATAAACATAAATCGGCGTCGCGTCTTGGGCGTGAAGTGAAGCCTTTAAGGAGAAATATACTGCATCATTCTTTTATTTAGGACACTATCGGTTAGCAGCTGTGAATGAATAGACGCACACAATGCGCACATCATGAGAGGAAAGGGCTGGTAAACGGGGTCACCCGCGCCATTTGATACATTGCTTCCCATACGAATTAACATTTGAACCAACTATGTCTGTGTATACAATTAGGTAATTATACATTGTCCTATTTCAACATTGAAGTTAATATTCTCTTCTATCTACCCGTTGTATTTTGCCTTGGCAACTTTCTAATTTGTTCAATTGATCCATACCATATATAATGAACACGAAAGTCAATAATACCGCTCAGAAGAAGGTCAATTTTAAAATTACTCAGTCCGGTTGGAAGATATTTTATCATTTTTATGACTAAAATACCATGCCATAGCCATGGGAAAGTTCAATTCAGTCAGAAATATTAAAATGAAAATGCTACGGTGCTTTGGAATTTTGGAATTCAGGCATATAGAAATCACTGAGTACATTGATGTAGTGATGAGGATTTAACCGTCGTTTCACTAGTTTATAAGCAGAGCCATGCTGTCGATGTGTGTGCATGGGCTATTGGGCCATGCACACATTGATTCATGTTTACAGCATCTCTTAATAGTACTAAGCTCTCTTTAAAATCGGTTAGTTTAAAAACCTAGTTCATGCAATGAGCCTTAATTTTTCCGCCGACTAAAATCAACTAAGCATCATTTATTAATCATAAGCTATAACACTTGCTTTGACCAGATCTATTTAATTACATACATACAGCCAGGGGGGTGATCGTACTAGCAAGACTCCTTTTATTAAAAGGCAAGGCAACTCCTTGTAAACTTCCGTAGCTAGATGAATACTTTAAAAGCTGTTGAAAGAACAATGTTTTAGCGTATAGAATGGAAAGGAAATTTGCTGTGCGGTAAAAAGATCACTTGGCACTGCCTTGCAGGCAAAGGAATAACATCTGCCGGTTTGCCAGTCATCTCAAAAGAGCTCTTATTAACCTTACAGTTACTCTGCAATCACTTTCGGAAATCGGTAGTAATATCAATAAGACAACATGTTATAGTTAATAATGACGGTATATTATTTTCAACTGTCCAGGTTATCAGAGAAGACTGGTTCCCGCTTATGAGCCTCCCGTGTTTTGTATCAATTAGCTGCATTCGCTCCTATGGCCTATGCAGTACTGATCTTAATTATACTTATATGAATGACATTAATGATATTGCACCAAAAGTCTGCTTTTTTCCCGCCTGAATTTCGCAAGAATATCAAAGTCATATAGTAGTCTAAAATACGTCCGATGCCGACGGAAAAGTCACTGGCAAGTGCCATATACTTCTTTAGCCATGTAGTCAAGCCGACTCAATAGAATCGACCAGAGTCTATCAGTCTATGCCACACAAATATTTGTAAGATTTCCAAAGAATATCTGTACGTACCAGGCCGGCAATTCTCAGTCAAATAATGAATTATAATTTATATAGTAATTAATTGGCATTGTCAGTCAGGAATATTCTCGGTAATATCCCCGAGTTATATCTGCAGATAGAGACCAAGGGTGTTAGCAAGACCGCAAAACTTGCTTTTCAGGGCTTTCAGTCACTCATATATTAAGATTCAAGAGGGCTAATTCGCGTACGTTTATTCGGAATTTGCTTCACAGTGCTTCGACACTCAAAAGACATCAGGATAACAGACAGTCTTGTTTCGAAACCGGCATTTGCTGGGCTTATGATATACATACTAGATATGAGTCTATAGTATATGTATGTAGATACGACTCATGCGCATGAGTCGTAAGTGAGTTCATGCACTGTCACTGACAGCGTAGTGTGACTGTTGCGTGATGTATAGCGCGGCGAAAGAAAGCGCATGAAAAGTGACACGAATTAGACTAAAAAGTATATAAAAATAGCGTGAACATTAGCAGTATGCGTGAGTTTCCGCGAGATTAATGTCAGGAAACATAAGACACATAACAACACAAACACCTTATGCGGGATCATAAAGAAACAACGACCTGGTGTTAATGGTCGATAAATACACAATAACGACTCAGTAATGACAAGCGAAGGACAAGGTGTTGGAGAAAAAAAACGCGACGCTTCCATGCGGTACTCGCTTGTGGTCAATATAGGCACAACCACACTCACCGCGATGACGTTCTTTCTTATTATCAGGCGAAATACAGGCAGAATTAAATCTGAGATTAATCACAGATAGCTATACGGGACACTCATTAAGTCAGTCTACACTGTAAATTAGTAATAAACCATAAAAGCAACTAAATTTTCCAAATAATATTCGGTTTCTTATGAAGTTTACGCAAAAGGCAGTTTGAGAGGCCTTCTTTCAAATGTCGGAAATGAAGAGGCTTGCATATTCGCTCGCATAGTCCACTCAACGTATCCGGCAACTTCGATAATCACTATGTTTTTCAGCTAGTATAATGGCAAAATACACCCCACTGTAGTTGCTACAACATAATGAACCATCGAATGAACATTGGGAATGCATTGTATGCCATAGTTTAAAGGCATTTCAAAATAGAACTTTTCGAATTATCTAGACGGTCACTGCTGTACGCATTGAAATCAAGCGATGACCCGTGGTCTAAAGGTCAAGGGAACTACGTCAGTAAGGCTGTCTTCGCCGGACTTGCTCTCCCTGCTTCCCGTTCAAGAAGGACTCGGTTACCTTTCCTGCTTCCCAATTGCTAGAATGTCGCAGCAGTTTTTTGCCTTGCCCTCCATTTGATCTAGTCCATGAAAATTTCACACAAAATTTAATTTGTGTTATGATAATTATATGTTAATCTACTCGGTTGAATATCAATTGCATTTCCATAGCTACAAGGCGATTATTGTTACATGCTGTGTATGGCAAACAATGCGCGTGGGATGTGATGTCATCAGCCATACATGGGGATGTATATAAGCATGACAAACACAAGTGACCAGTAATAAACACAGACTCCTAGCGCTGAGAAGAGCTAAAGAACTTCAAATATTAAAGTTGTGTAGAAAGTTTTAAAAGTTATTTTAGAGAGATGGGTTCAAATCATTCATTGAATCGTAAGGAAATCTTACAAGAATACGGAGTTGTGAACCATGCCAATAATAAAGAGAAGAATAATAATACGAGCAGCGTTCCTACTCTTATAGACTCTATGGGAAAGGAGAATGTTATTCTATCGAACCACGACGTGCAACTGGCGACGGCGTACCTTCATAAATACGCTCATGTTAGTAAGCGAAGAATGAAAACTATCTTTATGCCAACTGCGACGAAAAATACGAACAGTACGAACGAGAATAAAACTTTAAAACCCGCTCAAGCGAACTCGGCTATCATACCCGCAACAACATTAAACAACACCCATAAAACGAAGACGCAGAATATCTCAAATGCGAAGGCGGCGTTGACCTCTTCCCATTTCACGATGAAATGTCTTGGAACTTTTGTATGCGCTCGATATTTACGAATGTTGCCGCACTTATCCATCAACGATGTCATTACGTGGCTAAAGAGTGTCGACCGTGCACTGACCCTATCAGGATGGCAAGATCATGCCTTTCTTACCACTCCCAATATAACATTTATCTACATGTTAGCGAGAGACTCTTTGCCTGAAAACGTACAGTCTATGAACCAACTGAAATCTGAACTATTAACAATACTCTACATGGCCTACACCTATAGCGGTCCAGAGATTAGCTACCCTTTAAAACCTTTCCTTTGCGACAAAAATCGCGCGGAGTTTTGGACCCGTTGCGTTTGGATCACTAACAACCTTAGCGGTGATATGTTGAAAATCCATAAAGACAGTCAGTTTTACGAAGAAGTTCAAATCGAATTGGCAACCTATGGCTGTTTGTTCCAAAGATCGAAGAGAACTTGAAATGGGTACTTGACTTTGAAGGATGAAGTCGGACCAGGCCGACCAGCCACCGCCACGAGATGTCAGATGGCATTTGGAGTCACACAAATGAACCATGCAGTGTATCAAAAGTAAATGACGGTTGAAAATCCACGAACTTTCCCGATAAAATAGCTTTGACAGCTATATAGATTGCCACATGAGTTAATCCGAGTAGCTCAAGGCAAGCTAGTATAGTGAACACTATAAAATTGACATGTCAGAACATTTATAAAGGTGACTTGAATCGTCTCACGCACGAAAATCAGTACCTTTCATTAGTATGCTGACAAATGAGATAGAAAATATAATTTTTTACTAATAAGCAAATAGATAGGGAAATATAAACATTCACAAATATCCTGTGTATATATTAAGAAATTTGTTCATTCTAATGTCTATATATTTATACAAAAATATAAAAAATTATTAAGGGATTAATTTATTGAAATTGTAAAGCTGGCATCTGTGAATCCAGGGTAAAAACATCACAGTCGAAGAAAAATAAAATGAAAAATGTTCAAAACAATCCAACGCGTTGTTTTCCTGTTTGATATAGCTCCAGGGTCTGCGTGTCTCGACAGCTGTCCAATTATATAAAATTATAAGGTTTAAATATTTTAGAGATTCCGTCCTCCGCAGCCGGTATGCGTCCGCTTGCGTGCGTTCTCAGTAATCCGACGAATGGCGCAAAGCCAAAAGCACGCATGATTATAATCCGTATTCTGTGATATTAATCATAACAATCAAAAGTTCAAAACATAAAGTTAAAATGAACAAATAACTCTCAGAAAGAGTTGTCTGAAAATCACCAAACAGCTGTGAAGTATATTATAAATTCAATGATTCCCTATCTTCGGGTCAAATTGTTTTATCTTTAGTCAGATTTAATGGCCGATTATCCTATCCCGGCAGTACAAACCGCTTATACGCGTGCTCAAATGCTCATATTAAAAATCTCACAAGGTCTCCAGCTGCTTTGCGACCGCAAGGGTCAACGCTAAAATAGAACTGGTGTGAATATATATAGCTTGGCAATCTTTTGTGACTATTTCTGCCCAGAGCAAGATATTTTAGGTGACAGTATGTGTCAGATGCAACAATAGGTATACATTCGGCCTAAAATAGCTAGAGACGCGCAAAAGCAAGATCGAAGTCTTGTTGTTTTGCATAAACGTCGTCTCACATCTGTTTGCATTGAGTATGCCTTTATTCATTTATGAGAAACATCATTAATCAAACATACAGCAGTGGCATAATGCCACAAAGAATAAAGAGGTTCTTACAACGTGACCCATTAAAGGAATAATGAATGTGCGTATTCAGACGTCGCAAAGACTTATGTATAATTTTCCTCTTATGAACTAATGCTCTGCCGACATGCAAGCGATATAATGTAGTCACCTACTGAATACTTGCTGCACAGTAGCAAATATATAACTCATATAACAAAACCAAAGGCAAGGATCGAATTGTTACATGAACATGTTCATGATCATGTTCTTGTGCGGTTATTTCTCATGCATTGGAAGCAACAAACGTTATAGTTATTATAGTTAATAAACTTCAAGGACTTTCGAATATGTTTAGGTTTTGAGAGCACTGAAAAAATGAGTTTTGAACGTTGTACTTGTATAAACAGTCTAACTTATATGTGGAATGTTCAATGAAGACGAGTCGCAGTTACGAGACCAAACTGGGATTCGAATCCAAGCTCCAAGGCTCGATTGTGTCACAAACGGCGTCCGTTTGTGATTGGTTGAATTTAGTAATCATAGACAACTACAGATTCGCCAGTTTCGATTCACAAGCACTGCTTAACAGAATAGACTGAAAATAATAAAGTTTGCTGATTTTGGCAGGCATAGTTTCGGCAATATGAGTAAATTGGAAGAAAATTGCATGCTTTGTATCACATTTCTTCAGCAGGGGCCAGGGGAAAATTTATTATAAAATAACATGTATATAACGCGTGCTCTGATTGGTCGAAACCCGTGTTTGGATCAGGCCATCCAAACACGGAAGACTATCGTGTTGTTATTATTTTATAAAACAATTACTTTATGGTTTCCCTGTTAGGATGGCCTGATCCAAACACTTGGGAATGTTGCTCGAGTTAAGAAAAGCGCGCAAAATCACTCGCCTTCGGCTCGTGATTTCGCGTGCTTTTCTTAACTCTCGCAACATTCCCGCGTGTTTGGATCAGGCCATCCAAACACGGAAACCATAAAGTAATTGTATATTTCCAACTTGTAATGTAAATACGAATGACTGCTGAACAAAAGTCTCCTGATTCAGAAATAATGCAGCATTGGCTGTACATCGGAAGTCTTTTCTTTGACCTATAACTCGATCGGATGTTAATATATCAAATTTCCGTTCAACTCAAGATGAGAGCGGAAATTTTAACTGTTGCGAAAAAGGGAATGGGACCGATCCTCGATAGTTTGTAACAAACACGGTTTTCTTTCGTTGCTCTTGAAAAGGTCATTGGACTTTCGTTTCGTTGACTCTGTTTCTGAAGTCTTGTTGGGTATATAGAGCTTGCAGTTTCTGGAAACATCTAGTTTGTTCTCTTGTTTGACCCAGCACTTGCGTCTTGCGCAACACTCGAGAACTGTCAGTTTCAACACAAACTCTTCAGCGATCATTCGAGCACACACTAGTTCAATATCAATATATACCCTTTAGTAAAGTACAAACAAACTGCAATATCAATCGTCTTAGAGAAATGAAATACTTATAGTCAATAGGGCATTGAAAACGAATGTCTTAGACTTAGTGCAAATTTTGCAATGACTGCAATCGTCTTTAGAAATAAAGGCCACATAATTTAAGGTCATGCATGCACCTTCTTCACTCGTTTATGGCCATGGATACAAGAGTCATGCAATGACGATTTCAGTACGTAATATGTTAATTTACAACCGACCGTTAACGTTTACAACATTCCCACTTCAACTGCTCAGTGCAAGACACCCAGTTTTTTCACTATATATAACTAGCTGGGTACTTTCATCTTCGGTGTGCCAAGATTTTAGACTGAATACAGTATCTAAGAGCAGCTACCCACCATATATGACTCTATTAGTCAAGACAAGTCTTAAATTTTTTACTGCGATTTAAAAGTCGAATTGTTTTTCTAATTGGGCAAGGTCCAGCTGGATTGACACCTTGGCACAAAAGGAATTTCGTACTAAAATTTAGCAGTTGAAATTCTGCTTGATAACTTTGATATGCGTATAGATAGCGTTATTTTTGCTTGCATGATTTTAGTTTCAATATTATGTTTGCATATCTTATCAGTAAGTCACGTTTTCACTTCATGAAATATTCAGGCTTATGTTCATTGGAGATCTTATATGTTGTCATGATGCAAATTAAAAGGTTTAAAAAATAATTTTTCATTGTTGTTTACGGTCAGTTCTGCCAAAACCCATGGCCATGCGTGTTGAGCTTTATTAATACTTGCAGAGACATGCCTCTTGAGAGTTTGTTTGACAACACGGACGTCATGCATAAAAAGTTTAGCCGTTAATTATGTATTGCCAGCCGTTCTAGCTTGTCTAAAATGACATCAAAACGGCCGTGACGTTAGTTGAAAAATAGAACAGATGCCGTCATCTGTAGTGGGCTTTTTGCACGAGTAACGTCTCGTTGTCGAAAATATCCGGCTTCAGTGTTTTCAGAAGGCCAGTTAACACTTTCAATTTTTGCTGCGATTTCTAGTGCGATTTTCTTCTTCTGATGCATGTGAATGAATGTGAACGAGTGGATGAGTGATGAATGTGCAGATGAAGGTATACATAAAGAAGGTATCCTAACTCATCTACTCGTTCACATCCATCAGAAGAAGAAAATCGCACTAGAAATCGCAGCAAAAATTGCAAGTGTTAACGGGCCTTAAGCTAGAGAATAGCGACTCAGCCATTATCTTCAGTGGCTTTATTTTGTACGATGACGTTCCGTGTTCAATGTTGACTAAATCGTTGTTTGCAAAAGCGTGTATACACTTCTTTCTTTGAAGTTTGGAAAATATACTACATTTCATTTGTTGTTATGATGTAAAATGAAAAAGTTTAAAAATTAATTTCTCCGCGCTATCGTTCATTCAAAGCCCGTATTCACAGAGACACGTTTTGACAACACTGATGTCACCATGCATAATTTAGCTGTTAATTATGCTGTGAGCCATGCAGATAACGTGGTTTCATTACTTAAAATAACAACGACTTTCGTCATCTCTATCGCCTAATTTTTTGTGTACGCGGGTTAGGTCCTTTTTAAAATGATTTAATATTTCAAATCATTCACAAACAACAAATTTTCTTCCTCTAATTTATGATAAATACATTTACTCTAGAACACGTATTATTGTAGTCCATTGTGTTCATTGACGCAATGCATGTTCAATCAGTGAGTGCAAAATCCCGGTATATGTATACAGCTTCATCCGTTAACGTTGGGTTTGGTATTCACTAATACTGACAAAGGTTTTTGACAACACGGACGTTGCGCATACATAATTTGGTCGTTAATTATGGTGTCAGCGATTCTTTGTTTGATCATGCAGTGTTAGAAATCAATAACTGCATCTCGCGAGCGAACGTGATTTGATAACTTTACTAATTACTATATATATATAGTATATATGTGACTCCAATGTTGACAAAAAACATCGCTTGTTTAAGAGCTCTCAACGTACTGTATTAGTCAACGCGACTTGGGGTTTGGTCCATGAACAGGAAGATAGTATTGTGTCGATTGACGCAATGCGTTCTATGCATACATATTGTATATAATGGTGGCCCCGCTTTGTTGGAACGGGCTGAAAGGTGGGATGATTTTGACGTGTTCAAATAGGTCCAATGATTCAGTATTCAACAAAATTTCGCTTACTTTTATAGACATAGTGCAGATTGTAAAGTCACTGAAAGCAAAAGGCAATTTAAACAACAATATAGGTAGTGACTTATTTCAATTGATCAAAATCATCATCCCAACTCTGATCCTATCCCGCCAAAACGGGACCATGTATACAGCTCCTAAATCAGACTGGCCTACGCAGCTACAGGTTTTCATTAACATACTTCATGATCGTGGTTCTGAAAGTAAAACAAACGTAAACCTAATCAAAATACTGCCATAAAACCTCGCTACTCTTTTTAATCTTTCCATGGTTGATTTTGGACTACAAAAGACAATAGAACAAAATGCAAAAAATGTCAGTTTTGTTCTAGAAGTAAATATAATATAACGTGACCATTTTTATAAGCGATGTAGTATTTTTATAGGCGTTATAACTACAAAAGTAATTCTCGAGTCACCATTATACAATCTAAGCTAACCCTGATCGAAACTGATACGGTCAGATATATGGTATCATGACATGCAACAATGCATGTACTTATAAAATTGAGGATGAGCACCACCCTAATAATTATGACATACTTTGACGTGCCATGAAATACCTTACTGTCAAACAAGAACACTTTTAAACGGTTTCTGTGATCTCGATCAGTTGCGTCACATCATTACACCCTTCCGAAAAGTACGCCATTTTAGCCATAGAGCCTCGTTTTCATGCATGGCCGACCAAGTGACGTACTTTCCGGAAGCATGTATTGGCTTTTGAATGAAACTTTTGTTTTCGTTTAGGAGGTCACCGTCAGGCACAAACATTGAACAAAGCACTTTATAGTCAAACCAATACCACATAAACAAAACCAGACTATATATAGTGGTCCACTATCACTATCCAAGTCAGTAAAAAGTACATAGTGCAGTGGACTACCATATTTAAGCAGCTCTCTAACAGCGTTACGATGCACCCTTTCTAATATTAAAACGCAGCATGCAATCATAATTTTATGCCATATTGTCTGTAGCTATTGAAGCAAATATCAAAAAGGAAATGATTCTTCAGTTGACCTTTATTCCTGAACGTCAAAAGGAAACTCTCACTTGAACTGCACAATGCAGGATACCATACGGTTCATAATGCCCTCCAATGAGCGCCATCGGTTGGGATCTGAACCATCTGAAAAAGATTAAATGTTTTTAATAGTAATGATTTCAAGTACAATTTTTAATCTTTGGTTTTCAGTCCAGACACAAACCACAGCAACAACTTACTCTAGAATACAACATCTACCATTAGATCCCAACATGCATATTTTTGCTAAGAATGTATATGTAAGTGTTACTAACACCATTTTGTCTGCATGATTGTGAAACATACTTTCTCTCAAACGAAATCGAAATATACGTGAATCTGAAGCCGATAACAGGTAGGCCTATACGAAAAATTGTTCAACGGATAATGCAACTTTTCGTGAGAGCTCCGCTCGGTCGACTTTGTTGATTGCCCACCTTCATATTCATATACTCAAAATCTTATTTACGTGCAAGTCCTCACGTTTCCTTTCGAAGCAAAACTGAAAAATATTATTGATAAAACTTATCGACGTAATTTCATGACGCAAATTTACACATCTGACATCTGCGTCGAATGCGTTTAATATACATTATAAAAACATTCTCAAAAAAAACACAACAAAAACTAATTTAAGTTGCATAATGTTGGATAACTTTATAACCTTTTCTACGAAGGCATGTTTATATAGATACTTCCACATTGAGATTTACATTGGCATGCACTTGGATATAGAACTGGATTACTCGGGAATGCTCAGTTGAACGGTTCGACACTAAATCAGTAAATGTGTTGCTTTAATTAATTGAAAGACAGGTTTCTGACTTTTTGCCTAATTTATTCTCTTTCGACACACACTTCTGTCAGAATAAAATGACAAAAAGGTTTTTCCATTTTATTAAAACAGCAGTCAAAAGACGGTCAGAAAGATAGTAAACACAAAAACATTTATGACATGATGGCTAATTCAAAGCAACATATATAAGCAGAAACCGATCCCACAGCCACAGTAAAATAAAAATTAATCTTCCATATTTGCAAAGAAATACTGCAGTATGTTCACATTCAATAATTTTAATTGCTTTTCCGCACAAATAAAATCCTTGAAACATTATTGGCATTATAATATATAGGATATATTATTATTAATATATCATCTTAATTCTTGTTCGAAGTCAGTGCAAGCAATTAAGATATGTATATCGATAGCTTACTAACATAATTGCCTAACTCAGTTTCTAGCATTTTGAGAAAAATGCAAAAATAAGTCGGAAACATTCGAAAGTTGCTATTTTATTATAGTTCTTCTAAACATGTATAACAAAAAGAAAAGCAGAAAATGTGAAACACTGTAAAAGTTCCAGTGTAGTGTTAATGTGTGTTAAACCTGACTTAGGCATTTATACTAC